TCTGTCTCTCAGTGTGTTTCTCTGTCTCTCCGTCTCTCTCTGTCTCTCTCTCTCTATCTTGGTCTCTGTGTGTGTCTCTCTTTCTGTCTCTCTCTCCGTCTCTCTCTTTGTCTCTCTCTCTCTGTCTCTCTCTCTGTCTCTACAGTACTATAGAGTTTCCTACTTGAGGAGGGAAGGACTAGAAGAACAATGAGGCGCCTTCCAAATCTCTTATTCGATTAACAAATAGAAGGACTGGGGCGACATAATATCCGTGTTCCATTATTTGAGGGGCTGCTGCCCCAAAGAAGAGGGTCTCCAAATCCCCTGAAAGCTGGATAAAAAACAATGGATGGAAACTAATCAAAGAGAGAAGCAACCTGGAATTAAGGAGAAACTTCCTAACGCTGAGAATAATTAACCAGTGGGACTGCTTGCCACCAGAAGTTGTGGGTGCTCCAACACTGGAGGTTGTTTAAGAAGAGACTGGACAGCCACTTGTCTGAAATGGTATAGAATCTCCTGCTTAAACGGGGTTGGACTAGAAGACCTCCAAGGCCCCTTCCAACTCAATGATTCTGTAAAGCTGAACTTTTGCACCCAACTTCCCGCTCTGCCCCCACTTCAGAAAATCTGTTTTGAACACCCGGTTTGTGGTTGTTGTTTTCCTCAGAACGGACACCTTGGTTTGTTTCTTAATATACAGGCCTTGCTTCACTTTGGGGTGGAAGTTATGATTCAGACGGTTGCGTGCGCCCTGGGTTCACGCACACGGTTTCTGCCACCTCTGCTGCACAAGGGTGTGTGGTGTGCTGGGAAGTGATTGCACACACCATCCTGGGTTGTGTCAGAAGCGCCTTGGTGACGCGAGCTGTCAGTTTGCCCTCCGCCTCCGCATCCTCTTATCAGAAAGCGTCTGGATTTCAAGGCTGAAATGTTAATGACCTCACGGACCAGTCTGGCTTTTGAGAGAGCTCTCGAAGGAAAGCCACGCCTCGATTTACGACCACAATGGAGCCCCCCCCCAATATCTGCTGCTAAGCGAGACCACCCTTGCCACCACAGCAAAGCGAATCTGTAGTCGTTCAATAAATAACACGGGTCGTTAAGCGAATCTGGCTTCCCCGTTTAGCTTCAGGGTATTGGTGAAGCGAGCTTCGTCCCGTTTTACAACTTTCCTTGCCACCGTTGTTAAGTGAATCGGCGTATGTACAGGGGGTCCTCCGCTGACAACAACAGGGCCCCGAATTTATGTGGCTCAGTGAGAAACGGGGTGAAGCGAGCTTCGTCCCGTTTTACGACTTTCCTTGCCACCGTTGTTAAGTGAATCGCTGCGGTGGTTAAATGACTAATACAGTCGTTAAGCAGATCTGGCTTCTCCGTGTGACTTTACCAGTTGGAAAAGGTCACAAAAAGGGCGGATCAGGTGACCTCTCGGGATGCTACGGCCGTCATAACCATGAGTCGGCAGCCCAAGTGTGTGAATTTGGGTCACGTGGCCGCGGGGATATCTCAATGGCTGTTAAGTATGAAAAACAAATCTTAAGTCACTGAAGAAGCTTCTGAATGTTTGTTTTTGTCCGGGTAACCTGGTTTACCCAATTATGGGATGGAGCCTGCTGCTTCCGTTTCAGCCCCAATCCAGGGGTCTTCACAGGCAGTCGCTTTGACAGGACAGAATAACAGAGTTGGAAGGGACTTTAAAGGTCTTCTAGTCCAGCCCCCTGCCTTGGCAGGAAACCTTATCCCGTTTCAAACTGTTGTCCGATCTCTTCTTGAAATGATGAAGCCCCAACTTCTGGTGGCAGTCGGTTCCACCGATTAATTGTTCTCACTTCTGCTAAATTCCAGGTTGCTTCTCGCGACAAACTATATTTTTTGCGTTCAACCCAGGCTCGAGTTCAAATCCCGGGAAGGTCGAGGCGAGAGCTAAATAGCTTGAAATAGATCTGTACAAGCCTACCCCTTCGTTTCTTTTGTCAGTAAAATGTCAATCCAACGCAAACCACGGTGGCTTCCATTTTACGCATCGCAGGCCAGAGGCGATGCCATTTCCGAAACAAAGGTGTAAGTCTCGCCACTGGCTAAGCCAATGAGGCATGCTTCCCTCTTTCACGCCCTGTGATGGTATGCAGGACAGACCTTGGGAGGCGAGGTGGATGCCAACGAACGAACGGTCAGGGAAGAGGCAGCCGAGCCCCAAACTGCATAATGGGCGGGAGTGGGGGCGGGGAAGAGAGACACTCGGAAACAAAACCCACCCAAGCGTCTCCGGCTGTAGATGCTGGGAAAATGGTACTTTCAAACTTGCAAGATTCAGGGTAACGGAGCTGGGAGGGACCGTGAAGGTCTTCTAGTCCCCCCCCTCTCTCAAGAAGGCAGCCCAGTCAAATTCCCTCTGCTTGGGATCCCTTACCTCAATGAGGTTGGCACACCCCAGCATGCAGCAACATGGGTTATGTTGCACAATCGACACCTACTAGCGCTGATGACGTCGCCTAGTTTGGGTCATAAAATGCGTGCAAGAAAAAAGCAAGTTCAGAGAGTACCAAGGACCCCACAATCCTTCCTCATCTTCATCCTCCTCCTCCTTCTCTTCTCTCTCCTCCTCCTCTCTTTCTCCTCTTCTCCTCCTCCTCTTCTCTTCTTCTCCTCTCTTCCTCCTCTTCTCCTTCTCTTCTTCTCTCTTCGTCTCCTCCTCTCTTCCTCCTCTCCTCCCCTCTTCTTCTCTCCTCCTCTCTTCTTCTCCTCCTCTCTTCTCTCCTCCTCTCTTCCTCCTCCTCCTCTCTTCTCTCCTCCTCTCTTCCTCCTCCTCCTCCTCCTCTCCTCCTCTTTTCCTCCTCCTCCTCCTCTCCTCCTCCTCTTCTCTCCTCCTCCTCTTCTCTCTCCTCTTCCTCTTCCTCCTCCTCTTCTTCTCTCTCCTCCTCCTCCTCCTCCTCTCCTCCTCCTCTCTTCCTCCTCTCCTCCTCTTCTCTCCTCCTCTTCTCCTCTTCCTCCTCTCCTCCTTCTCTTCTTCTCTCCTCCTCTCTTCTTCTCCTCCTCTCTTCTTCTCTCCTCCTCTCTTCCTCCTCCTCCTCCTCTCCTCCTCCTCTTTTCCTCCTCTCCTCCTCCTCCTCTCTCTCCTCTTCCTCCTCTTCTTCTTCTCTCTCCTCCTCTCCTCCTCCTCCTCCTCTCCTCCTCCTCCTCTTCTCTCCTCCTCCTCTTCTCTCCTCCTCTTTTCCTCCACCTCTCCTCCTCCTCCTCCTCCTCATCTTTGCAAACCCTACTCCCTTCTAGCACTGATTATGTTACCTAGTTCAGTTATGAAACGTCTGCAAGTAAACCACCAAGCTCAGAGAGCACCGAGGACCGCACAGTTCAACCCTGAGCTACAGATATCCTCTCTTACTGCCTCCCCCACGACGCTGTATGACTCTCCCCAGCTGACTCCAGCTCTCTCTAACCGCCTGGACCTAAGATAGAAATGGCAGCTATCTAGATTTTTCCATCAACGCAAGGAAAACCCTCCTGAGGGTGGGGGCCTTGAAGACACGGGATAGCCCATCTCTCCCAGAATGCTTTCGCCCCCGGGCGGGGTTGGACTAGACGACCTTTGGGGTGCCCCTTCCGTACTCGACAGTTCAGCGATCCTGACTCCCACCATGGCTCTGTCCTTACTCGCTTTTCCCATGCCCGGCGCGGCCTTGTCTGCTTCCCAACTGGGTTTCCTTGCCGTTAGCAGCTGGTCGAACTGGATTTGTAATTTCCCCAACCAGCAAAGCTGTGGCAAAGTGTCCCCTCAGGCGTATCATGTCGCAGTAGATACCCCCCCCCAAAAAAAAATAGAGGCTGATTTCTGCTCCTCGCCTGCCCCCACACAGCCTTCTCATGTGCCAAGCGCATCCCTCGACTCGGGCAAGAAAGTTGGTGAGGCCGACCCAGCCGTGACTGACCGCGGGAATTCTCCACCGGTCCGGAATCATCTTCGTAGCGTCCTCGCAAATTAACGGGACCAACTTTGCCTTTGGAAGTTGTGGGAGCTTCATCCCCGGAAGCTTTTCAAGAAGAGACCAGACTACCTTCTTGTCAGAAAGGGTGTAGGGTCTCGTGCTTGGGCAGGGAGGAGTTGGACTAGATGACCTCCGAAGTCCTTTCCAACTACGTTATTCATTAAGGATCTCCTGCTTGAGCAGGGGAAGTGTCATTTCTGGAAGCTTTCCAAGAAGAGACCAGACTGCCCTCTTGTCAGAAATGGTGTTGGTTCTTCTACTTGGACAGGGGTTGGACTAGATGACCACCAAGTTCCCTTCCAACTCCTTTATTCTGTAAAGATCTCCTGCTTGAGCAAGGGGAGCTTCATCTCTGGAAGCTTTTCAAGAAGAAACCAGACTGCCCTCTTATCAGAAATGGTGTGGGGTCTCCTGCTTGGGTGGTGGGGTGGGGGGGGTTGGACTGGATGACCACTAAGGTCCCTTCCAACTCTGTTAATCTGTTTTATTTTTTAAAAACAAGAGGGTACCCCAGCGGAAAATTCTTGACAGATAAGCATTGACGTGACTATTGGTAGTCAATATACACTCATTCATTTATGACTGACCTGGGTTACAACGGCACCGAAAAAAAGTGACTTACGACCATTATCTACACTTATGACCATAAAAATATATAATATAATAAATATAATATAATATAATAAATATATCATATCATATTAAATAAATTAAATTATATATATATATATTAAAATATCTTATCTGTATCCTAGCCAGGCTAGAATTCCCCTGCTACTCACAATTCTTTCTCAATGTAAGAGCAGAAAATCCCACTTTGGATAAATTTTATTTTCCTTTTCCTTCCATTGTTGAGCTGACCTAGCAATCCATGGGAAACAGCTTATAGCAAAAGTGAAAGTGGGGAATTTTGCTCCCCAGCTTTCAAAAGGGGTCTTCCCAGTCGTTATCAGCCCCTCAGCCTGAATGGAGCCTCCACATTCCAAGGCAGTCTACCTCATCTTCAACCTTGAACAGTCTTAGTTAGAGAGGATCCTATCTTACAGGCCTTTTATGGGGAGCCATGGAATAGCTGCAGGGTTTAATTCAGAAGGGAAAAGTTTTATAAAGTTTTAAAAAGTGTTTTAACGGTTTTAAAAGCTTCCAAACTTTGAAAAGCTTTTAAAAGCTTCCAAACTTTTAAAAACTTTTAAAAGCCTCCACACTTTCAAAAACTTTTAAAAGCTTCCAAACTTTTAAAAACTTTTAAAAGCCTCCAAACTTTCAAAAACTTTTAAAAGCTTCAAAAGTTTTAAAATGTTTAAAAGTTATAAAAGCTTTAAGGGCTTTTCAAACCTTTGAATAAGTTTTTCAGAGTTTTTGAAAACATTTTGAAAGATTTCAGAAAGTTTTTTTAAAAAAAGTTTTTAAAAGGTTCCCAAAGTTTGAAAAGAAGATTGCAACGGTTTCATAAGAAGCTTGAAAAGTTTGGGGTGGTGGGGGCAAGGCGGGGAGTTTGAAAGAAGTTTGAAAAGAAGTTTTTTTTTTTAAAGTTCCGAAAGTTTCTCTTTCATAGGCACCTAGGCAAAAAAAAAATCCCAATCAAAGATTATAGGGAATTTGGGAGGGTGTGTGTGATTATTTTTATTTTTCTTCATTCAGACCCCTCCCCATTGTAGAAATATAGGTTGGGGGTAACACATGGGGGTAAAAATACCTGCCATTACTGCACGCCCCTTACGCTCTTACCGCCTTTCCGACTAACCTCACCCTCCTGTCTGCGGGGCCAGGGAGTTCGTCCTATCCCCTCACCCTCCAGCTGACCTTCTGACTCAACTTCCCAAGATCTTCTCCCCCCCCACACACCCCTCCGTCCTTGCCTGGGGAGTTCCACGCGGGGGGAGGGAGGGGCCAGCAGCCTTGGGCCTCCCTTCCCCTCCCCGGATGCTCCACATATTTGTGGCACCCAGCGGGCTCCACCCCAGACTTTTGACAGGAGTTGCGCATCCTTCTCGCTGCTCACAGAGCGTTCCGGGGCCAAACGAGCCGGGTCGGAGCTGCTGAGCCGCCGAATGCCAGGTGAGTTGCGGGCCGGCGCCGGGGCAGGTGGGGTGGTGGAGGGCGCCCACAGACGCTATCTCTGCCCGTGTGCAACTTTGCAGAAGGTGAGGTCGCAGGAGGCGTCGTAAGGGGGGCGTCGGGGCGTCGGAGGCAGAAGCAGGAGGGTCGTCGCTGAAAGATCGGAGACGAGAAGGAGAGGTAGGTAGGTAGGTAGGGAAGGTAGGTAGGGAAGGAAGGAACGAAGGAGAGGTAAGTAGGTGGAAAAAGAGCGGGAAGGGAGGAAAGGATAGGTAGGTTGGTAGGAAAGAAGGGAGGGAGGGAAGGAAGGAAGGAAGAAGTGAGGTAAGTAGGTGGAAAAGGAAGGAAGGTACCGGTAGGTAGGTATGTAGGTAGGTGGAAAATAGAGGAGGGGAGAGGGAGGGAGGAAGGTGGAGAGTGGAAGGAAAGAAGAAAAGAAAGTAGATAAGTAGGTGGAAAAGAGGAAGAGAAAAGGGGAGAGAGGGAGGAAGGAAAGGGAAAAGGAGAGAGGAAGGAGAGAAGGAAAGATGAAAAGAAAGTAGGTAGGTAGGTAAGAAGGAAGGAAGGAATGGACCAGGGAGGGAACCTTTAGCAGGTGGGAGCTCCAAGGTGTCTCCAGCTGTGCGCACAGGTATCCGGGGCCGCCTAGAGCAGGCAATGGATGTCGGGCAGGTGTGAGGAATTAAAAAGAAAAAACCTTGAGTTGCGAAGAAGTTTGGGGTTGAAAGAAATTCTGGAGAAACAAGGGAATGGGACGAAGGCAGCAGAGAAGGGGAGATGCGGGCAGTGGGCGCAGAACCCCAAAAGGGGGGTCTCTTTAATCCCACCAGTGGGCCAGCAGTGGGTCAGGACTGAAAGTTAGGAACCAAAGCGGCTGTTGTTACAAACGCGCGTCGCCGGGCGGGACTCCCGTGCTTGGGAATCCAGCGCACGCAAACCGACGGGGTGGGGGGACAGCACTACAGCGCCCATCATCTGGAAGATGGGAGTTGTAGTGCGGAGGTGCTTGAACCCCCTGGGGCTGAAAAGGAGAGTCTCTCTCGAGGCTTCAGAAGCGGGAACCTGCCTCCCTCTGGGCGTCGGAACGGGACTTTGGAGGTCCCAAAGTCGTGCCCGCAGGTGGAGGTGAGTTTCGATTCTCAACAACCCCGCAAGGCAGGCCGGGTTCCCCAGAATCCGCTCCCGAACGGAGCAGGGACTTGTGAAAACACGGGTGGGGCGGAGCTTTGGCAAGACAGCAGCTGGATCCGAACCCCGAACCTCTCGGGGACAAATCCGTGGGCTCTCCCCGTTCGCGCAAGACCAAACGGGTTAAGCAACCCACGAGCTGACACTTACTCAAGAAAGCAGATCCTAAAGGGCCTGGTTGAGCGAGTTTGGAGGTGAGTGCCTGTTGTTGCAGATATACCAAATAATTGTCGTAGGTTGTAAATTGGGGTTGGACTAGAAGACCTCCGAGGACCCTTGACAAGCCAAAGGGGAGGCTTGCTGGCTTGTGGCACCAAATTGTGTGAATATTGCCGGAGGAGAAGTCATGTGTTGGTCTATAAACAGTGTTTCACATCCTTGGGAACTTTTGAAGAGGAGTGGTCTTCAAACTCCCAACTTTTAAGATGGGGGGACTACAACTCCCACAATTGCCCAGCCAGCATGGGTTTTGTAGTCCACCCGTCTTAAAAGTTGGGAGTTCTGGGCATTGAAGTCCACCCTTCAAGTTTCCAAGGTTGAGAAACACTGATCTATGATGGTGTAAAAAAAAAAAACAGCTGGACTTTTGCAGGAAAAGTTTCTGACAAGGAATAACAACGGTTTGTCAGGAAAGGAAGCTTCCAGATTTTCCATGTTGTGTGAACAAAGCTGCAAGCTTTTTGCCTTCGTTTCAGTCTTGTGCAAAGCAAAGTGGGGGGGGGGAATTCCCCATTTTGGAGATTTCATATTGTCCTTCACCCCCTCCTCGTGTTTATTTTTGGAGTACAGGACACGAATTCAAGTTTAAATTCTAGGAAAAATTAATTCTGGTTTAAAGTATGGGAGAACTATGGGCCATTGATAGCAAGACCCACCTGTCTATTGGGCATGCTTCAATCAATCAGAATACAGCTGGAAGGGACCCTTGGAGGTCTTCTAGTCCAACCCCTTGCTCAGGCAGGAGACCCTACATCATTCCAGACAAGTGGCTGCCCAATCTCTTCTTTAAAACCTCCAGTGATGGGGCCTCCACAACTTTTGTTGGCAAACTGTTCCACTAGTTAATTCTGGTTAATCGGTGACATAAATCTGGAGGGTTGGATTGGATTACCTCAAGGCACCCGTCCCACTATGAAGTTTGTAGGAGTCTGGTGATTTTTAGGAAGGATTCAGTGGCAGGATCTTCTTGTACAAACCAGGATTGATGATGGCTTCAGAGAATCAAAGCCCACAAACAGATCTTGCATTGAGACCTCTGATAAAGAGATTTTCAGGCGTGACTCTGGATTTGAGACCATTTGGTACCGGAAAAATTTCAACGTGCAAAAATTCTTGTGCACAGAAAGGATAATTTTCTCTTTCTTTTCAAATTCGTCTTGCACCCAAATATTTGTTTTTGGAGTCGAAAGAGAAGTCCTGCTTTTGACTTGGTTGAAAATATTTTAACAAATTGGACTTGAATGGTTTGGATGGTGTTTGCCCTTTCCTGACCCTGCCGAAAACCTTGGTTGGATCCTCCTACAGGTGGTCCTCATTTAGCGACCGTTTACAATCAGGAGAGGGGATGAAAAAGGAATGTGGTGACCAGTCTTCTCATCTACGACCTTTGCAGGTCTGTAATGCAGAGGAAAACCAAGGGAAGAACATAACCACGCCTTCTCTTAGGGACCATTTTGTTTACTAACCGAGCAGTGGTCACTAAATGAGGAATGCCTGTAAAATGGGCACATTTTTTTAAAAGTCACGCTAAGAATGTCTAAACAGCTTAATCCTGAACTTCAATATTAATTCATTATTCTAAAGATATTGGAGGGGAGAGGTGTCCATTTTAAGAGCCATTTTAAGGAGACAACGTTGGGGTGTGTGTGTGTGTGTGTGTGTGTGGTTTGAAGAGTTTTTAAAAGTGATTTTTCACTTTGCCATTCAGCTCACAATCACACCTGGATCTCTCAAATTGTAAATGGGGCTTTTATCCAGGGCAGGGAGTGGGGAATGGTGGCCCCTTTATGACTTGTGAACTTCAACTCCCAGAATTCCTGAGCCAATTCCAGTCAGGAATTCTGGGAGTTGAAGTCCACAAGTCATAAAGGAGCCATTGTTCCGCACCTCTGGTCCAGTACATCATCTTCCAGAAATATCATTACAAAAAGAAACATACTTTGCTCATGCCCAGAGGAGCTCTTTCCTCGCAATGGCCTGTTTTCCAAAACAGAGTCCTGCACATGAAATCATTCTTGCGTAGAAAGTAGGAAGCTGATGAACTGAGTGGATTGCTTGATATTATCAGATTTTTCTTCCTTTCTAGAATGTGCCAGACTCTATCCTCTCATAGTGCTTAAACAAACATGTCTCACTTAACACTGGTTTGTCGAGTAAACCATAATTGGTTTGTCCAATAAACCATAGTCAGGTAAAGTCACCAAACCCTGGTTTGCAAGCCGCAACCAAATGAATCAATTTATTTAATCTGTATAGTTGCCCATATATCACTGGATTCAAAGAAGCACTGAGCTGGCCAAAACATTCAGTACATTAAAAATATAAAAATTTACTGTCTGAATAAACCGTCCAGTTTGAAAACTATAGAGTTTGGCACTTCCTAGATCAGCTTGACTGTGGCAAATAAGATAGATTGCTCCTGATCACAGTGCCAGCCACCCATGAGGGACCCTTCCTTGGAGGCTCCATTCCTGCACCCTCCAAAAACAAGCCACAAATTGTCCTGGCCTCCCATGAAGTTATTTTTAAATCCACCTCCCCAATATGCAAAACCCCACCCCGGTGAAGTGACTCTTTTAAAATTCAGCAAATGTCCATATTTTTCTTTGTGTGAGAACTGTGTGGTTTGCCTTCCCAAGGATCCTCCCTGGGAAACCGGTTTGCTGAAAGCTGGTGTACTCCTCAAACAGGTCTCTTGGGATGAAAGGTTCGAGACAGGCAGCTTTTACCTCCCGCCTGGGAAGAACAAAAAAGTTTTCCCTGGTTGGATTCCTGCCTGCTCTGTAAAGGCACGGGGTCTTCCAAGGAGGAGGTGGAGAAAATTAAAACAACCGGGCACAGACGTTCACACTGTGATTGTTAAATAGTGTTTCTCAATTTTGAGATGATTGGACTTCAACTCCCAGAATTCCCCAGCCAGTTGAGTAATTTTATTGTGTTAATTCAGTGTTTCGAATCTTTGAGATAGGTGGATTTCAATTCCCAGAATTCCCTAGCCAGCTTAGTAACTTTAATATGTTGTTGCGGTGTTTCGCAACTTTGAGATAGTTGGACTTCAACTCCCAGAATTCCCCAGCCAGTTGAGTGTAGTTTTATTGCGTTAATGCCATGTGTTTCTCAACTTTTTAGATGGGTAGACTGGACTCCCAGAATTCCCCAACTGGTTTAGTAGCTTCGTTATGTTACTGCAGTGTTTATCAACCTTTTAGAGGGGTAGACTTCAACTCCCAGAATTCCCTAGGCTGTTGAGTAGTGTTATTGTGTTAATTCAGGGTTTCTCAACTTTTTAGATGGGTGGACTCCCAGAATTCCCCAGCCAGTTGAGAAGTTTTATTGTGTTAATTCAGGGTTTCAAAACTTTGAGATAGGTGGATTTCAATTCCCAGAATTCTCCAGCTGGCTTCATTATGTTATTGCAGTGTTTCTCAACCTTTTAAATGGATGGACTTCAACTCCCAGAATTCCCCAGCCAGTTGAGTGTAGTTTTATTGTGTTAATGCCATGTGTTTCTCAACTTTTTAGATGGGTAGACTGGACTCCTAGAATTCTCCATCTGGCTTCATTATGTTATTGCAGTGTTTCTCAACCTTTTA